GCTTTAGCCGTTACAGTGCGAACGCTGCTACGGCGGCACTGACATGGCACTCGGATCCAACAACACACAAAGAGCGCCATGGCTGTATGTCTGTATGTCATCCTGCTCCGCGCGCGGCTGCCATGTCTGCAGCCAGTGCATGTGCATGCCCGACGGGAAATCCAACGACATATCACATACAGAGAGCGCCACGCCCCCCGTCCAAGAAGCCCCCACTACCCCAGCCAGAATAACGCAGGTGCCTGGCCAGTCTCGCTTTATTGGATAGGCCCGCTAGCTGGTACACCGTAGCGTACGTCGTCGCAGCTACTCACTCCGTATCTAAATAACCATTGTTTTCGCTTTCGAAACAACTTTAACTAATTTTATATAAAAAAATATTAATATTTATAATACATAATTAATATCATTAGATAAGTCCTTGAACCTATTTTTATAAATTTATTTGGAGATATAAATAGTACATATATTATCTGTAAATCTAGTTAAATTTATGATATTGAAATAAAAAAAACAATAATTATTTAGGGACCAAAGGAGTTGGTGTGCTGCACGCCTGCACAAATTCAATCTTCACCCTGCGTGTATGTATCTGGACTGAACGACAGCAGCCGCAGATGTCCAGCTCCACGCGTGAACGACGAATCCGTTCCGCTAGCTGCTTGCTTGTTAGCTGCAGGACACCGTTACACATGCGTAATATACTGATGTACACAGGCAGAAATAGAATTTGCCCATTACCGTTATAAAATCACGTATATTTGCCGTAACACACTGTATCTATTGTTTTATTCATTTCTCGGATTTCAAGAGAGAAGGTGGAGGAATGTCTTTTTCTACCCTTGTCTTCAACCTCCAGCTTTTCATTGAAATTTTCCATAACACACCACTGCACGTAAGTTCCTAGTAAGAACTTTATTAAAATATATAAAGATTCATAGGGGGTTATCGGTATGATTTAACAGACTCAATGAACTGTGAAATAGATAGAAAGAGAAGGAGGGGGCTTTCTGCAAATGCACTTTCTTCCTCCTTGGAACAGTCAGCCATGGCTGAGCAAGGCAGTTGCGCAGGGGAGGGAGCCGCGCATGGGGAAGACCTAGCCAGGGCTCTCCGGCCGGCCTGTCGGTGGTGAGCAACTTCACAAGTTCCGCGGGCCTGCGGTAGGGCAGGGTTGGAGTGGCTGGCATCAACGCATCGAGGCTGTGGCGGCGCGTGGCGGCGCTAGGCAGCCAAGTCCCCACCGGTGGTGGTCCGCCTCCTGGCGGTGTGGCCACAAGGCCGGCGCGGCTAGGGGCGTGGCCGCCCTGACGAGCGCGGTTGGCAGCGGCACGGCCACCCAAGCCAGCGCGGCTTGGGATGCGACCTCCCTGGTCATCGAGGTTGGGGTGCAACCACCCAGGCTAGACGCCGAGCACTCGCTTCTGACGTTGGTGCCAACGCAGTTGATGCTCCGACGATGACGACGACATCAATGAACGACCAGAGGTTGAAGATGACGGCTGTGCGTTATGGCAAAATCAGTGAAAAGCCGGAGGTTGAAGACGAGGGAAAAAAGTCATTTCTCCTGCATTCTCTGTCCGCGGATACAAGAAATGAATAAAATAATAGGCACGGTGTGTTACGGCAAATGCACACGATTTTACAATGGTACTAGACAAATCCTGCTCCTAGCGTTGTCTATCGATATATTATGCATTTTAACTGTATGCTGTAGCAAAATTTTTCCTATCATCTATATTGTTCCTCTTTCCTAGTTCTTTGTTGTTCGCTAAACTACTGCCATCTTACTTTTTCTGGTTTCATTCATCTCCAATACAATTATTACATGTTTCACGATACGTATTGAGAGAGTATTAGGGTTCGTCCTCTACTTAATTTATACAGGCACAGGTGTTCACGACCCTGCTCTGCAATCTGAAATTCGGGATATTCCTCTTCTTTGCCGGCTGGGTGCTGGCCATGACGGCTTTCATCGCGGTGTTCCTGCCGGAGACGAAAGGAGTGCCACTAGAGGCTATGCGGGCAGTATGGGCACGCCATTGGTACTGGAGGAGGTTCTTCCTGCAGGATGTCAAGCACGAGCTTAGTTCAACTGGTTAACTGATCCATATCTGTACTTGTAAAAATGACAGTATGAACTCAGCCAGTATATACCCTGCCATGCTGTAGATAAATGATCTGAACCGGTACTTGTAAAACAACTAATAGGTGACGTGTGCAAATTGTGCGGCCACATTCACTACCACAATTTTGAATTAACTTTGAGTGCAAAAAATTTGCTCCACCAATTCCAGCCGTTGATGAAGGGTTATCTACTACTGTTGTAGAAGCTCCTCCAATTGTGAATGATGAAAGTGCAATAGTAGTTGTGGGTGAAGAGACACGTGGAGAACAAGAAGAAACACCTACGGAAACAGCTACACCTACATGTGAATGAATAAGATTCTATCAGAAAAAGATACATTTTAAAAGGTCCATGTCATCTTTATGCCTATGATTATCCATCTAGAAAAATCTATGGTAAAGATGGCCGCTTTAGTTTTGTTTGGTTTCATAAGTACCATTAGATATTGAATATAGCATAGAAAATAAGGCAGCATATTGCTTCTATTGTTATTTGTTTGGTAAAAAAAAGTGAAAAATTTATTACGCATGGCTGGCATAATTGGAATATGGGAACTAAATCACTTTACAAACATGAGTCTTCAATTTTACACAAGTTCGCTCATGAAAATTTTTGACTACGACTACCCTGATTTCAAATCTTGGGTCCGCTACTGCAACAAATAGGTGTCCGTGTAATACAAATTTGAGGACCTTTTAGTCCAGTGGCATGTAAATGAACCATTTTAATAGCGTTCAATCTTACTTAAGTTTTTAAGTTTACCGTATCTTAATTTTTTTTCTCATCCTCCGTCACTGCAATGGTGTATGCTTAATAAGAAGATTTTTTTTATGTGCATAATATTTTTTAGACTCTTCTGCGTGGGTATGCTTAGCGAATAGAGTATAGTGGCGAAGGTTGTTGATTACTTTATAAAATATTCATTTTTCTTACATCTAGGTGAATTCATATAAAAAAAACTATTGGCACAAACTTATACTACAATGATCTTCCTACAAGGTAAAATATCTAGTGCCATCTTCAATATCAAAGGCATGTTGTTGGTGTCCGGACTGAAGATGCCCATTACGTTGCTCTGAGACAAGCAGCAAGCCCTGTGTCTCCTCTGGTATTCACGTTCTGATGAGACTGTCGTGCATACGTGTACGTGCATATTTGTGTTATATGTTGGTAAGTTGCGTCCATGGATTAAAATATATCTAGACCCACTTTTTGGATTAAAAAAAACAGCGTGGGCAGGCCGTGGGGCGGGCCGCGCGAAGTTGTCTGTCCAGACACACTTGTTTGGAATAAAAACACGGGGCGTATGGAGCGGTGCGTCAATCATTTTCATTCTTTTAATGTAGTAGTCTTATGTGTCACATCATTATACTAATGAACTCAAGATAGAAGCCTATGGTTACTTTTTTTTAGAATGCCTATGATTACCTAATGAGAATAGTGCCTATCAATTTTTTTCTCATTATTATCATAGGGCCCACCGTCGCTGGTGTCACAATTTTGATGGCAAGTGAAGGAAGTGGCAGGCCGGCAACAGCTTTTTTTGGCCAAATTTGGCCCTCAGCTCCTTGGGCCAGCAACGAGAGCTAAGCTTTGCTTCACATGGCACAAGCACCTAAAATAGTGGTAACATAACATAACTTTGGTCCCATGAGCTGAGCAACACATATGGTAAGCTAATCAGATGGAGGGGGAGCCTCGACCGCTCCTCCTCCTCCTCCATCGCTCCTCCATACGACACGAGTGGGGTACCGGTGTCTTCTTCCCCGCCCTTGGTGATGGCACCCGTGGCCACCTCTTGCCGCCGGCGTCCCCATCCTTGGGAGTGTTCGGCTGGACTGATTTCCGGTTTGTTCGGCTTATTTTTCCAGCCGGAGCAGTGTTTTTCTCTCACAACATTCCAGTATGAACAGTGTTTTCCAGCATAAACAGTAAAAAATTCAGTCCAGCCGAACACTCCCCTTGTTCCTGTTCCTGATGCCGACAGTTGGAGCTCGCATAAAAAATTTCAAGTACTTGGAGAGGGATTTTTGTTGAGCTTTGAGGGGTTGGAGGATAGATTTTGAGGGGTCGAGAGAATTTTTTGTCACGAGGACTAGACTGAGGATTTATTGGAGCTCTCAAATCTATCAGACTAGAGAGTTTTCATCATTAGGGGTTTTATTGTAGAAAGCCTAAGGGCCTGTTCACTTCGCTGAAAAGCTATGGCGGAAAGTACTATTCGCTGATTTGTTGTGAGAGAAAAACACGGTTCCTTTACTGAAACAGTACGGCTCATAAGACAAGCGAACATGGCCTAAATCTGACTAAGACCCAGTTTAGATCCATAAAGCTAATAGTTAGCTGCTAATAATTAGCTTCTTAGATTCAAACAGGTCTAGCTAATAGTTGAGCTAGTCTATTGCAATAATTAGATCAAACTAGCTAATAACAAATAATGTTAGCTATGAATTATTAGCCAACTAACTATTAGCTGCTAATGGATACAAATAAGACCTTGAGGTGGATTCAGTATCCTTGGTCAATTAATTAATTAAAATAAATAAATATTTCATGTATTCGATACTAATTTTGATATTAGTCAGATAATATCTGGTAATACTTTGGGCATTTTATATTTTGAAAAATTTAAACAAAATAATTATCCGTGAGCTTTCGAGTATGTGTCGCTCGATCGGGAAATAATTGCCGTCCAGAGGCCGCGCAGTGGACGGCATGATGGGCCGTGCACAATCGTGGGCCTGGAATACCACGGAGCTGCTGCTTCTCATCTCAGGGAAGCAAGAGAAGTGGCGAAAGGAGAGACGGCGACGACGCCTCCGGCGGGGAGGAAAGAGGAGAGGACGATCCGCTAGCGTGTGCCGGCGACGAGATGTGGCGGAGGCGAGTGGGCGCCCTCCTTCTCCGATCCCAACCTGCTTCCTCCTCCACGGCCGCCTCTTCCTGCCAGCGTCTCCGACACCACCTTCTCCCCAGCGAGGTAGGCTTCCCCCTCCCGCTCCTCGCGCATTCCGTCGAGCGCCTCGTGCGCACCTCACCCTCCCTTTTCCCACGACCCTTATGATCTTCGGATCTGTGCTGCCAGGAACCTCTGGCTCTCAATCGTCTTGCCAGGCTCTTCACGTCCCAAGCTGTAAGTTTGTTTGCTCCCAAGTCCCAAACACAGAAAAGCTTGCATTGCCACCTGCAGCAGCAGCAGCAGAAGCACCTTCTCCTCGCGTGAGTAACGGATTCACTGGTGGAATCTCTTCTGTTCTGTCTCCAGGGAAGTGATGGTGGCGATACCCAGAAGCCCTTTATTGCTTTTGTCTTAGGTATAAACCTTCCCTTTTCCTTTTTCTATAAGATGGAGCATATACTCCGGCCACTACTTTACCTTCACTTTTGCCCCAGTCATACAGAGCGTAAAACCCACCCACATAATCATTTACTGAGCAGAATTCTTACCGAATGTCAATCCATGCTATTTCAAGTTTGATAACGGGTGATTCAGTGCTTTGTGGTCACATCATTTATCAATCAATTCGTGCCTGTAGGGGGTCCTGGGAGTGGCAAAGGAACACAGTGCACCAAGATTGCTTCGGATTTTGGATTTGCCCATTTGAGCGCTGGCGATCTTCTCCGGCACGAAATAGCATCTGGCAGTGAGAAAGGGTATTACCATCTTGTTGTATGATCTCCTGTTAATCTTTTGATTGTGCCCTCCCTGTGCGAAGGGTTTCAGTGCATTGTTGCTTCATCGTTGCACTTCAGGGAGTTGATCCTAGACATCATAAAGGAAGGGAGGATTGTACCGTCTGACATAACTGTGGAACTCATAAGAAAAACGATGGAAACGAAAAATGCTAAAAGGGCTCTTATTGACGGCTTCCCAAGGTGTGACGAAAACAGAATCGCCTTCGAAAAAATTGTAAGTTCTCAATTTGATTTTCACCACTGCATTGCATTGATAGTTGAGGATTCCCTATTAACTTACCTTGTTGGTTATCAAACACAAGCCCCATGTGGTTCTTCACTTCTGACTGAATTTTGTTTGATAATACTGCACATGGATGAACCTTTCTTATAGCCCGTTTGGATGTTGATATTCAGACTCAAGACTTTGGCATTGGTATTGGATACCCCCAATTCCGTTGTTTGGATGGTCTTGGTATCGAGGAGTGGAAAGGAGCTCCAATGCCATATAGCATTCGGCCTGCCTGTTCAGCCCCTCCCACAATACCGAGCGCCCCCCTCTGTATTCACGAGAATCTTCCCCACCTGAAATGCTTCGTCTGTGTTGCGAAAAAACAGGAGTCCTTCCCTCGCCGGCGCAGGCCCTCTCGTAGTCTGCCCTCGCCGGAGACGCTGCCTTCTTCAAGCTCCCTCCATCCTCCTTCCCCGTCTTTGATGGCGGCGAACCCAGCTCCTCCTCCATCCATCGATCTGCCGGCGCCACCCCGCCATGGTCGCCGTCGAGGAGCCCAGGTCCACCTTGCCATGGCTTCCATCGACCTCCACCTGAGCTGCGCCTCGTCTTCCTCGCGGACGAGCGGCGGCGTCTGCCTGCACGAGCCGGGCAAGTGAGCGCCGACGCGAGCGCGAGGTCGTGAGAGGCGGGCGTGCGCAGCCAACTCCGCGCCGCTTCCAATCCCTTGCGGACCTCGCCGACGATGCCCTCGGGGAGATCTTCCTCCACCTCGACTCTCCACCGGACCTCGCCCGCGTCTCCGCTTGCGCCAGCTTCCGTCGCGTCATTACAGACCACAGTTTCCTCCACCGCTACCACACCCTCCACCCGCCGCCGCTCCTCGGCATCCTCGCTAGCGGCTTTATCCCCGTGCTGCCGCCCCACACCTCCGCCATCGCCACAGACTTGTCGTTCGATTTGGCATTGGTACATCCAAACATGATTTGGTATTTACCATGTCACTGGATTCCAATAGCAATTTCTTCCAACATCCAAACATATGATTTGGTATTGTAGCTCATTTCCAATACCAGCCCGATTTGGCATTGGTACCCAATTCAATTCCAGCTACTCAATATCTACATCCAAACAGACCCTTACTCACGTCGTTTTGACATCAGTATTATTTAAGTAGACAATTTTTTTGTTACTGTTTTGCATTATTATGCATGCCAGCCTAGATTTCTATTACCACTAGTTACTAGTAAGTCATATGCAGTAAGTGGATGATTACAATCGAATGAATCACTTTGAGGATGATCCACTCTGTTAGAGGACTAACATCAATTTGTGCTGTTGAAATCAGTTATTAAGTGATAGGATTCCTGATCCTACCAGCGACGTTGCGTAGTTTGTATGGGTGTGAGGGAGGAGGAACAGGCCGCGTTCCTCGCTGCCGGCGGCTGGGCGCCGTCGCGAGGTTGTAGGCGAGGATGATGACAGGGGGCGGCTAGGGCAAATCCCGGCTCCCTAGGGGAAGCCGGAAACAATTAAGATTGTTTCTGCTTAATCCTCAATAATCCCAATTACAATAATTTATACTCTAAAATATCCTTTTACGAAATAACCCTCAAGCTAATAGGTAAATATTAATTCATCATAAACAATGACTAAACGGGCCTATTCAGCCACTATTGGGCCGGTTGCGCCTCTTATATCGTATATCCGGTCATAACATCTCTTCCTCCTCGGCAAAAATGGCTCGTCCTCGAAATTTGGACCTCGAGATATTGCTCCTTGAATTCTTCTAGCGGCTCCCATGTCGCATCATCCACTGGAAGCCCCTGCACTGGACAAGAACGCGCCACTCGCCACGACGGAGTTGAGCGCGCAGCACCCGCCAGCGCTGCGTAAGCGGCCATCTGCATCGGTGGAAGAGTAATCGAGCGGCGGGGAGCTCCGTGTAGGCCTTGAGCCGGCTGACATGGAAGACGTCATGAAGGCGAGCGCGGCAGGAAGTTGCAGACGGTAGGCCACCGGCCCGACGCGCTCGAGCACCATGAACGGCCCAGCGTAGCGTGGGCGGAGCTTGCCCTTGAGTGCGCGACGAGGACCGTGATAGGACGGTGGAGGAGGCGCAATAAACACCCAGCGCCCACCGCGCGGGCGACACGTCGCGATGATGCTCGTCATAGTACCGCTGGCGCATCTTGCGTACTGAAGAGACGCCCGGACCTCCTCCAGGAACGCGTCGCGATCGCGAACCATCGTGTCAGCCGCCTGAGTCTGAGCCGCCCCATGCTGGAGCGGAAGGAGGGGCGGTGGGGGGCGGCCATAGACCACCTCGAACGGCGTTGCCCGGAGCGCCGTCTGGAATGACGTGTTGTAGCAGTACTCCGCCCAAGAAAGCCAGTCGACCCAGGAGCGAGGACGATCCCCGGTGACGCAGCGAAGGTACATCACGATGATCCGGTTGACCACCTCGGACTGCCCATCCGCTGCGTGGATGGAAAGCCGTACTCAAACATCGCTTCACGCCTGAAAGCTTAAAGAGATCACGCCATAAATTGCTGGTGAAGACGGGGTCGCGGTCGCTGACGATGGAGGTGGGGAAGCCGTGGAGGCACACAATGCCATCGAAGAATGCACGTGCCACCGACGCAGCCGTGTAGGGGTGGCTGAGGGCGATGAAGTGCGCGTACTTGGAGAACCGATCAACCACCGTTAGGATGACCGATTTGCCATGCACCTTGGGAGGCCATCGACGAAGTCCATAGAGATGTCCGCCCACACTGCGATGGAACGACCAAGGGTCGGAGCAACCCTCATTGGATGCGTTGTCGGCGTCTTGTTCGGCCGCACGCGTGTCGCAAGAGCGACGCAGCCCCGCACTGCACCGACGTGGTCACACAGGAAGTAGAAGTCCTGGCGGAGACGAACAAGGGTCTTCTGTATGCCCTCATGGCCGGCCTTGTGTGCCAGCGCCACCACCTGGGGACGCAGGTCGCCATGTGCCGGGATGAAGACACGCTTGCCGTGGAGCAGCAGACCGTCCTCGGCGCGCCACGGCGCCTCCAGCTCCTCGCTGGTCAGCTGCTGGAGGAGTTCACCGGCCTCCTGGTCCAGTGCCATTGCCGCCCTGATGTCGTCGTAGAGACGGAAGGAGGGCTCGGACACAGCCATCGCCGTGGGGCCGTCCTCGTCACGGCGGGAGAGCGCATCGGCGGCGGTGTTGAGGCGCCCCGGCCGGTACTCAACGGTGAAGTCGAACCCGAACAACTTGCTGAGCCACTGATGTTGAGGAACAATGGACAACCGTTGATCGAGGAGGAACTTCAAGCTGTAGTGGTCGGTGCGGACGAGGAAGCGGCGGCCCCAGAGGTACGGCCGCCAATGGCGCACAGCCTGGACCAAGCCGATGAGCTCGCGCTCGTAAGCCGCCGACTTGATGTGACGGGCGTGAACGGCCGATCGAAGAAGGCTGGGGACCCGCCCCGGTGCAAAGACGCTACCAGCGAAGCCGATCTTGCGAGGCGTCGCGATCGACCACGAATGGCGATCAAAGTCCCAAGCATCGCAAAACACAGCGCCGATGATAAAGCGCGCTTGAGGGTGGAGAACGCTCGTCGGCCGCCTCATCTCAGCGTAACGCCTCCTGCGCAGAGAGCGTGTGAGGGGCGCAGCGATGGAGCCGAAATCCTTAATGAACTTTTTAGTAGCCGGCTAGCCCCAAGAAGCCCGTCGACGCATGGGGTGAGCGGGGCCCAAGCCAAGCCGCGACCGCCTCCACCTTGTCATTTGTCCATGGCGACGCCGTCTTTGAGATGACGTGGCCCAAGTAGGCCACGGAGGAGGAGGCGCCGAAGGAGCACTTGGACCTCTTGAGAAAGAGACCATGCGCGCGAAGGGCGCTGAGGACGAGGCCGACGTGCTGGAGGTGTGCTGCCCACGATGTGCTGTAGATGAGGATGTCATCAAAGAAAACCAGCACAAACCTGCGGAGGAATGGGCGAAGGACGTCGTTCATCAGCGACTGGAAGGTTGCCGGCGCATTGCAGAGGCCAAACGGCATGACCAGGAACTCGAAGTGCCCCTGGTGAGTGCGGAACGCTGTCTTGGCGATGTCCTCATGGTGCATGCGCACCTGATGATAGCCCGAGCGGAGGTCAAGCTTGGTGAAGTACTTGGCGCCATGGAGTTCATCGAGAAGCTCGTCGACCACCGGAATCGGGAACTTGTCCTTTGATGTTTTATCGTTGAGAGCCCTGTAGTCAATGCAGAAGCGCCAGGAGGCATCCGCCTTCCTGACCAGAAGGACCGGGGCCGAGAATGGGGACGTAGAGGGCCGGATGATGCCTGTTTCAAAGATGATGGCGCTTTGACGCCGAGCTCATCCTTCGCGCATTGTGGATACCAGACGGCCCGACCGCCACCGGTCTTTGTGCTGTGAAGGAGATGGATCCGATGGTCGTCGTATGGCGACGCTGAAGGCGGCAAGCTGCTCCTCAAAGACGGCGCCGTCGTCTGCTTTGTAGTAGTCATCCGGCCCAAGGGTCGAGGGCTGGTCGGTCGCGTCCCTGCCGCCAGCCAGTGTTGAGGCGCCGGTGGAGAGCCTCGCGACCGCCAAGTAATGCGTCGGTTGTCCCTACTGGAAGGACACCGTGTGGCCGTCAAAGTCCCAGGTGAGGGGCCCCAAGGTGCGCAAGAAGTCGACGCCGAGGATGAAGTCGAAGCAGCCCAACGCGAGGCCGACGCAGGTGACCGGGTACGACGCGCCACCGATGGAGAGTGGAATGTCGCGGCCGATCCCCTCGCACGGCAGGCGCTCCCCGCTGGCCATGGTGACATGTAGTTGCGCGGCGCCCGGGGAAGAGAGCCCCAAACGGCGCATCACGTGGCTCTGGAGGAACGTATGCGTGGACCCGGTGTCCAGCAAGGCGAGGAGTCGTTCGCCCTTCAGCGACACAGGCAGGAGCATTGTGTTTTCCGTTCGAATGCCTGCGAGAGCATACATCGAGACAACAAGGGCATTAGCTGTAGGCTCCTCTGCCGGAGTAGCCGAATCCTCCGGTGGCACAGCCCCTTCGTCTTCTGCGGTCGCGTATTCGTCGACGGTCTCGAGGTAGAAAAGGCGCTTGCACACGTGTCCCCGCGCATACTGCTCATCACAATTGAAGCAGAGACCCTGGCGTCGCCGCTCCAATTGTTCCGCCGTAGTCAGACGCCGAAAGCGCGGCTGGCCGGTGGCCGCAGGAGACAGGGCCGGCGGCTGGGTGGCAGGAGCCCCTCCCGTTGCTGGTGCAGCCATGGACGGCCGTGGTGGTGTTCGTCCACCCCGCTGCTGTGGCGGCTGCGCCGGCATGAAGGCCGCCGCGCGGCGCTCGAAGGCCCGCGCGAGGTACATCGCGGTCTGCAGGTCAGGCGGGTGCTGCAGCTCGACGTCCACCTGGATGTGCTCCGGAAGACCGCCGACGTAGAGCTCGGCCTTCTGCCGTGGGTTCAGATCACGCGCGTGGCAGAGAATCGCGTTGTAGCGGTTGGAGTACTCCTGTACCGAGGAAGTGAAGGGCAGCCGCGCGAGTTGAGCGAGTCGTGTGCCCTGCGTTGGGGGCCCGAAGCGGAGTTGGCACAAGGCGCGAAAACGATCCCAAGCGGGCATGCCTTCATCCTGCTCCAGCGCGTAGTACCACGTCTGGGCGTCTCCGCGGAGGTGGTACGAGGCGAGCCAGGTCCGGTCCGAGTCCAGAGTTCGCTGTCCGCGGAAGAATTGATCACAGTGGTTCAACCAATTGAGTGGGTCGGCGCTGCCATCAAACGTCGGAAACTCCAGCTTGTAGAAACGCGGGGGCGCGTGTGCTCCTTGGACAGCTGCGGCGGCGGGAGCGCCACCCTCCATGGCGATAGCCACCGCTGCGTCGTTCCCGGAGGGCAGCGCAGCCGAGGATGGGGCGCCTCTGTAGTAGAGGTTACCCGCAGCGTCACCGTAGAAGACGCCGGGGGTGAGAGGCAGGGACACATCCCCACCCGCAAAGGCATGCGGTGGTGGCGCCGTCGACGTGGAAGTAGCCATGGTGTAGATCGGAGCGGCTGCGGAGCCCGCCATCGCCCATGACGGGATTGGTGACGGCGAAGGCGGCCACGGGAGCATGTGGAGGGGGAGTCCAGTGCTCGGAAGTACCGGCAGACTCACGGGCGGCACCCCCGCGGAATGATCTGCCGGCGCGGCGGCCGGCGCAGGGAGGGTTGGTTGCGGCGGGGGCGGTGGAGGCAATGACGCTGGCGGAGGATGTTGCTGCGTGAGCCCCGTCCACGCGGCCTGCATCGCCGCGATACTCCGGTTCATCACGGCCATATTCGCCGACATCTCGGCGACGACCTCGGCGAGGGAGTCCAGCGTGAGGGGCCGGGCACCCGAGGACGCGGGGGAGGCGGCCGCAGAGGATACCGCCGACGCGGCGGAGGAAGAGGGCTGCGGCAGCGGAGGGGTTGGGGGAAAACTGGACTGCGGCAGCGGAGGGAGTGGAGGAGAACCTGACATCGCTGATACCAGGTTGATAGGATTCCTGATCCTACCAATGACGTTCTATGTAGTTTGTATGGGGTGTGAGGAGGAGGAGGAACAGGCGCGTTCCTCATTGCCGTGGCTCGGCGCGCCGTCGCGAGGTTGTAGGTGAGGAAGATGACAGGGGGCGGCTAGGGCAAATCCCGGCTCCCTGGGGGAAGCCGGAAACAATTAAGATTGTTTCTGCTTAATCCTCAATAATCCCAATTACAATAATTTATACTCTAAAATATCCTTTTACGAAATAACCCTCAAGCTAATAGGTAAATATTAATTCATCATAAACAATAACTAAACGGGCCTATTCAGCCACTATTGGGCCGGTTGCGCCTCTTATACTGTATCCCGGTCATAACATTAAGAAGACTAGAAGGTCAACTGAACTGTGCTTACTGTTTTCCTCCATAGTAGTAATCTAAATGAATACTCCATGATGCCTGTTCTGAAATATCAATCTATTACTTACCTAAATATTTCAGGTTGGAACAGAACCAGACATCGTGATCTTCTTTGACTGTCCTGAGGATGAGATGGTTAAACGCCTTCTAGGCCGTAACCAGGTTAGTAACCAGGTTTAGTGCCAGATTGATATTTACTCAAAGAAACTACAGTATAGTGTAAGCAGTGAATCACATTCCCTTGTTTAGACTTTGGAATAGACTTCTATTCATGTAATATAAGAAAAGAAAAACCAACTTCTTTATTCAGTAATCTAAGGCGCATAAACTAAATTACATATTGATGATTGCTAAAGTACAGGTAGGATTGTGAATTGGGGGCTCTCAAAAGTACAACTGGAAGATTAAAAATCCAATAATAGCTATCACAATCTTTATGCCTATGATTATCCATCTAGAAAAATCTATGGTAAAGATGGCCGCTTTAGTTTTGTTTGGTTTCATAAGTACCATTAGATATTGAATATAGCATAGAAAATGAGGCAACATATTGCTTCTATTGTTATTTGTTTGGTAAAAAAAAGTGGAAAATTTATTACGCATGACTGGCATAATTGGAATATGGGAACTAAATCACTTTACAAACATGAGTCTTCAATTTTACACAAGTTCGCTCATGAAATTTTTTGACTACGACTACCCTGGTTTCAAATCTTGGGTCCGCTACTGCAACAAATGGGTGTCGGTGTAATACAAATTTGAGGACCTTTTAGTCCAGTGGCATGTAAATAAACCATTTTAATAGCGTTCAATCTTACTTAAGTTTTTAAGTTTACCGTATCTTAAATTTTTTTCTCATCCTCCGTCACTGCAATGGTGTATGCTTAATAAGAAGAATTTTTTTATATGCATAATATTTTTTAGACTCTTCTATGTGGGCATGCTTAGCGAATAGACTATAGTGGCGAAGGTTGTTGATTACTTCATAAAATATTCATTTTTCTTACATCTAGGTGAATTCATATAAAAAAAAACTATTGGCACAAACATATACTACAATGATCTACCTACAAGGTAAAATATCTAGTGCCATCTTCAATATTAAAGGCATGTTGTTGGTGTCCGGACTGAAGATGCCCATTACGTTGCTCTGAGACAAGCAGCAAGCCCTGTGTCTCCTCTGGATTGCCATCATCCTGAGTCCAAGGGTGCTTCTGGTATCTCCTCAACCTCACCAGCCTCTCTGCGACCTCCTTCATCGGTGGGCGTTCCTCACCACTGATGCTGACGCATTGCATCACAAGATCCACAATCTCTTGGAGAATATCGCAGGCACTTATCTCATTTCTCACCTGGATGTCTAGCAGTTCTTCCATCCGGCCAGCTTTCACCGCCGTTATGAAGCAAGATACGAGGCTCCTATCTTCCTCCAGGCCTTCAAAGTACAACGCCTTCTTTCTAGTCAGGAGCTCCAGCAGGACGACGCCGAAGCTGTAAACGTCGCTCTTATCGGTCAAAAGGCATGTCATAAGGTACTCGGGGTCTAGGTAACCCCACGTCCCCTGCACCAATGTTGCGATCTCGGCCTCATCATTTGGTGCCAGTTTTGACGTCCCAAAGTCCGAAACTTTGGCTGTGAGCTTGTCATCGAGCAGGATGTTTGCCGTCTTGACATCCCCGTGGAGTATGGGTGGTGAAGCCGATGAGTGCATATACGCGAGTGCCTCCGCAGACTCTGCCGCTATCCGGAGACGGGTGTTGAGGGAGATGTCGGCATTGGAATCCTTGTCATGGATGTAGTGGTAGAGAGTGCCGTTGGAGACGAACTCATACACCAGCATAGGCACCTCGACTTCGAGGCAGCACCCAAGCAGCTTGACGACGTTCCTGTGGTTGATCTGGGACAGGATCAACATCTCCCTGGCGAACTCCCTGGTCTCGGCCTCCTCCATCATCTTTGACTTCTTGATGGCCACCACCCTCCTGTCCTCGAGTACACCCTTGTAGACGATGCCATGCCCACCGCGGCCGAGAACGCGGTCGGCGGCGAAGCCGTTGGTCGCCTTCTGGAGCTCTTCCTTGGAGAATATCTTGAACCCTGCCGCTCCGGCGCCAGCCCTGTCATAGGAGCGCATCTGTTGCTGCAGGAGCACGCCCCCGTTCTGCTCGAAGAACTTTTGCTTGGCTCTGATGAGCTTCCTCTTCTGGAAGCCCAGGTAGAGCCAGAAGCACGTGAAGCCGAGCAAGAACACACCAGCGCTAACTCCTGTAACATGGCGCAACATCAATATCCTGATTAGGGATGCAAGGCGGGTTTTCCACAAACATGCAAATAGGCATAATTTTGTGAATTATCCACAAAAATTAAGCATATTTGTGGGTTCGCCAAACATCAATGATGTAATGTGTCGGTAGGTACCTGTAACTACTCTGAGAGCTAATGTGAACTTGTCCTTGGGCCGGCAACCATTCTGCCTGGAGGCGTCTCCACTTGTCCCCGGAGGACATTGGCAAGTATAGCTTCCCGGAGTGTTTGTACAGACGCCGAAGCATGGGTATTGGTCTCTGCGCTGGCACTCGTCGATGTCTTCCATTTGCGGAGCAGAGCACAGCAGTTTGATTTTGTGAAATCATTTCATCAGAAGATCAAGAACAACATAGGGCAATTCTGTGTCAAGATTGAAAGATGTGTGTACCTATGCATCCACCGTCGAGGTAGGGGTTGCCCTCGTAGCCTCCCTTGCAGCTGCACCTGTACCCTGGGCCGTTGCTGGAGTTGGCGCACTCGCTGAGCGTGCTCCGGCAAGCAAAATCGGTAGCGTTGCGCCTGCCGGCGGTGCAGTTGCCGACGTTCCGGACGGCCCAGTCGAGGACGAGAGGCACCGCGAAGTCTCCGCTCCGGTTCGAGTAGGCACGGTCGCTGTACGTGGTCGTCAACCAGTCAGTCTCCACCAGGAACACGTACCGGCATGCCGTGAAGTCGGCGTTGAAGATGGGGTCTCCCTGCCCTGGCTGGAAGTTGAGGATGTACGGCTCGTAATAGTCGACAGCAGGGGGTATGGCGCCGGTTTGGTAAACTGTGATGGCTGGCACACGGACATGCAGCCGCTGACGTAGTAGCCGTTGCCGTCGACGAAGTAGCCAAGGACGGGGCAGCCGAGCGAGACGAGGGAGTTCTTTGCGTTGGAGAAGCGGTGGTGGCTGTTCATCAGTTGCATGTAGTTGCTGCTCCCGGTCGAGTTGATCTGGCCTCCAGTGGAGTTGTAGCAGGTGCGCGTCGTGCTCACGTAGGCCCGAGCCTCGCCGGCTTCCAGGTTAAAACGGGCGAGCCGTTGGATGCCGTAGGGGTAGGCGACGGTGAGCAGCGGTGGGGACCAGGTTTCGTTGCACTCAAGGCTGAACCCCGGCGTTCCATCGTTACGGTAGCAACCGTCGCCGATGCCGAAGGGGTAGGGGACGGTGATGTTCCCGCACTTGTCGCGGCAGCCACGCAGCGCGACCGCCGCCGGCCGCGGCAGTGGCGGCTGCTGCGCTGAGGCGCGTGTCGAGGGCTGCCGCAGTACCAACGCGGCTAGTGCTAGTGGAATGGCCAGCAGGTGCGCGGTAGTTGCAACCATTGCTGCTCTGTGTCTGTGTTTGGATTCCACAGAAAGTCAGAAGAAAATGTGTTACAAATAGAGAGAGGGGTGACGTTTGGTTGGGGCTTCTTGGCCCATCGTTATCAATTCACAGCGTAATCTGATTCCGCTTCTTCTCGTTTAGTTGGGGCGCACCATAGTCAAGGGGTTGAATGCCATGACGCAATATGAAAGAAATGGATGACATTGACACTGACGTTTTGACCAACTTTTGAAAAATACACCAACATCTGTAATATCATATTAGTTTCATCAAAATCTAAATGTATCTTGATAGAGCATTTATTTGAACTTATAGCAGTTAATATGCTCCTCTAAAAAACGTGAAAAAAGTTAAATATAATGGCACTCCTAATGAAGACACTACGTCGTAGTAGTATCCATAGCATTGACATATCGTGTAGATAACTAGATACTGACTCCTTTCTAAATTATAACATATTTTACTAGTTTTTCTAGATACATTACTTTTACTATATACATCTGAACATAGTATATATCTAAGTACATAATAAAAATTATGATTTAAAAATAGACAAAACGTCTTATAATTTGGAAGGAAGGTGTATAATTTGGAATGGAGGGAATACTACCTAAGAAACTATAGCTCACATAATTGTGGCCATAAAATATGCTCCTGTCATCTTTCTGATATATCTCCTTTGATCTTTTTCCTTTCTACTTTTTCATTTTGTTATATTTGGGGTAGTGGCTTATCCATCCTATGTTTTAGAGGTATGGTGCAAGTCTTTTGTATGGATGTTTATAAAAGTAGATCGGGATGTTACATATGTTGCAATGGTTGTACACGTCTGTTGCAAACATGTGTTCCCAATGTTTTATCTGTTTTTTAGACATGTTGTAAATGTGTTTATCTGGATGTTGCATATGTTTGACACATATTTTGCAAGTGTTTTATCTAGATGTTGCGTATGTTTGCAATGATTTTCAAGTGTCTTCATGTGTTTTTGCAAGTGTTTCAGACTCATCTTTCGAGTGTTTCATTTGTTTTTAGACGTATGTTGCAAATGTTGCATCTAGATGTTTTAAAAGTAGATCGGGTGTTGCACATGTTGCAATGTGATCCGCCTATGCTGGAGGGGTCGCAAGGGGTCAAGCGTGGTGCAGACGTCACATTGGATCAGGCGAGGGCTTAGACGCCGCATCAGGTCGGGAAGTACACGGAGTTTAGGCGCAGGAAGCGGGCGTTCGGACACTGACGTCCGTCCCAACGTCCGGGCGCTAGCACTGTCGTAAAAAAAACTATTATGAAACCATCCTAATTCCAAATCACAGCATTGAGACTGCCCTATATATAGATTGTATAATTTGGAACGGGATGAAAGACAAACTACACTAGGTCGATCCGTTGCTTGCTTTTTTCTGACAATAGTGGCTCGTGCGATGGAGTTCACCGTGAACGACGTTCAGAACCTTTCATTTTCATCAATTATTAAATTGGCTTTGACCGATTCTCTTATATATATAGTGCACTACCGTAAACTGGGTGTTTGCCTAGTACATGAATGTTTACCGAGTGCTTCTAAAAAAAATCCTCGGTAAAATAATGGCACTCAGCAAAAAAGACAAAAAATACTCGGCAAAACTCGGCAAACTAGAAAAAAAAACACTCGGTAAAAGCTAGGCACTCGGCAAAGAACCTCCACGTGGACAACCGATAGTCCGTATGCCATCCGTTAGTACGTTTGTCGAGTGTACGTTAGTGGAAACACTCGGCAAACAAATACACGCGGCAAAGAAATATGTTTGCCGAGTGTATTTGTTTGGCACTCGGCAAAGAAATAAGTTTTTTTTTTCTCTTTTGACCTTGAAACTTTTTCTGCTCTCCACATACAACATGTGGTACTCCATGTTAAGATTTGGTTTTTTTACCTGTTTGCTATATTTAATTAATTTATTGTATTTCAAGGAATTTTTTGGTATAAGTCAAATTTGAACCGCAAGTGATTCAACTAATAGAATAAAATGAGTATAAAAATAATATTCATGTTATTAAGTCCATTGTGAGACCATACTCGGGAAATGAAAAGAAATTTTGAACATCCTATTCAGGAAACACGACTACGAACGTGTGGCCGAATGATTTTTAAATTTTAAAAAACAAACGAAGTATGAAAATTATGAGATTTGTCACGATGTGATGATATCATACGTGGAGGCTGTGGTAAAAAATTGAAAAGGTTTCATATAATTTGTCATATACGATGTTTACAAACCGAAGTATCTCAGAAGAAGAATCGTAGCGTTGAGTATAATTCGGTAAGATTTGGAGTCAAAGTGATGGTCAAATTGGGGTTTGGCTTCAAAACTTTTTTGTAGGCAATAGAGAACATAGATTGTTTCAGTGAAATTTTGATAATTTTTTGGATCCGTTTGATAATTTTAATTTATTAAGTGCAATTATAGAATTTTAATTGATATAAATTAAATTTGAGCTCTAACTGAATAAAATAATGGAATAATATTCCTAGAAAAATCAAATATATATTGTTGAATCAATTTTACAAGGTATTTTCAAAGTACATCGAAACAAATTGAGAAAAACATAAAGAAGGAGAAGAATGAAAATGAAAAAAAAAATATGTTTGCCGGCTGTCTTTCGCATAGAGTACATACAAATATGACATGGATGTGCATTAATAACCACACATACTGCAGCCATATGTATGTGCTTCCTATCCTGACTCTGTTTGGTTTGAGGTTTTATTTTATTTTTGGTAAAGGCCTAAATATATATAATTAAAGCTTTAAAGCACCATACAATGGATTGAGAATTCATATCCTAACTTACAAAATTGTAGTATCCTAGAAACAATAAGATAGACTCAAACACAAACTAATACAAAAGTGCTCATAAAGAGGGATATAAAAGCAAACTAAGTTGAAATCCTTAGAGTGAAAAAGTCATATGAACCCTCTATTAGTCAATGGCTAGAAGCATATGTGAAATTGCTTTGATCTTCTTTGTAACTTTTTTTTTGTTTTATGAAGTTCTGTTGTAAAACTTTTACCCATTTTTTATAAAAGCACTGTAGGGGTTTGTACCCTCCTGTTTTCCTAAAAAAAACTAAGTTGAAATCCACATATCCATATTTGTAAACACTTGTGATATGTTCATCGGGAGAAATTTCAATATTTGACATCGAGTTCGTAAGCCTCACAAGATTTGACACTCAATTCGTCTGCCTTTTAAAATTTGACATCGTGACTGCGAATTGCTTCAATTCAAGGGATTTCACCCATTTTCTCTCCTTTTCCTTTTTCTATAATGTTTGCACCTCTCCCAGCCACTTGAACGGACCAAAGTACCCCCTAGCCTAATAGAACACATAGATCGATTTCCTTCTTTGTTTCCGTCGTGACTCGCCGCATGAGCGAGACAGACACACGTCCGCCCATCCGCCGCCCATGTACCTGACAGGGAGCCCCGTTCGCCGGCGAGGAGCCCCCTCTGCCCGTTTGCCGCCCTTCCTCCTCCCCTCCTAGACCACCGTCCGCCGCCCGACGGTCTCGGCAGCAGCCAGGATCCAGCGCCGCCGTCCTCCAGTCTTGACTCTGGCCATAGGCCTTGTGCTGCTCGTCACCATGTCCATCATCCTGGTGGTGACCCGCCGGGAGCTGGAGCGCGAGATGGACGGGTTCAGCGAATCCAACGTGGTGGGGCGGGGCGCCTACGACGTGGTCTACTGCGGGCGGCCCGCCGACGGCACCGCCACCGCCATCAAGCATTTGCGACTGGACCACCGGTAGCAGGGCGAGCACGAGTTCCGCATCGAGGTAAACCAATCAACTCCATCTTACCTAGTGCTGGCGCACGCACACACGTTGCCTTCAGCTCACGCCATCGTCCACGCATGTGGCGGAACCACCCAAATTATGCTGGCCCACGTGTACCCATCATTGTCCTAAAGACCTCTAACTGATGTACATGAAAGCCAGAAAATCCGGTAGTCTGTCGGGTGTCCTAGGGGAACCCCGAGTCATCCACATTTTATAACTCATATATGATCAACAATAGAGTTACCACAACATTACAACATTGATACAAAAATTTTATACATCGGAGTTGTGGAAGATTTACAACATTAGGTGACACAACATATTATGTACCTTTAAGTAACATTTGAGTTCCTAGAGTTGAGTAGAACTACGGAAGTAACTTAAGTGAAGTACCTAAGATAGAAAAGACGATCAGATCATGTCGAGCCCACTGACATGACCTTGATTAGCGGCACAAGTCAGAACATGCAACAGGGGTTAACAAACCCTGAGTACTTGAGGGTACTCAACAAGACTTACTCAACTAAAAGAAAAGACTCCAAGGGCATGCAAGCTTAAGAGAAAGTCTGAAGCAAGAGTAACTTGTGCAGAAAAGCTTACTATGAGTTGATCCTTACTTTCAATATTTTAGCTGTGTATTAAGTCATTATCGGTATCCAGTTTGCACCTGATATAAATCAATCACTTCATTAAACATCTCATCTCTTTTCTTCTCATTTCCATAAGTCACCAGGTTCCATTGATTAACTACGATGATGGTGCGAGGATCAAGTCTCCTTTTACCGTAGAGCAAACAACGATTCAAACCGATTAAACCCAGCTGGGGATTCCTAACCACACGACATATGTGGGTCCTAGACCTACATATATCAACCTTCACTCGGATCCTCCAAAACATGAACCGGTCTGCGCTACCCGAGGGCATAGTACTGCACCACCCAACGTCATCCTAGATGTTTCCGTTGGGTGGGTACATGCTACTCTCGCCATCTCCCACTCCCAGTGCACGGTTGTCTTTTCACATTATAGAATAGCCGAGATATCAGGCTTACTGGAGTATGTGGTCAGTACTACAAAATTCTTGATCCAAGGGCCAACAACAAACTGTCCTTAATCGACTCAGGCGGAGCACTATACCGAGACTCCATTCTCAATGCAAGCTAACTCGCCCGGTTTCA